TGCGCAGCGATAAACGTAATAATGCCCAATGAGAATTTTGAATCTCAACAAAAGGCGCTGGTGTCTGAAAACTATATTAACAGGAAATAAACGTATCAGGGCTGCTGTGTTTCCAACGCATATCATTCTTTTGAGGGGCCTAAGGCCAGAATGAAGGCTACAGTATATGGAACATAAGTCCATAGGTCATTGTTTTTCACTGCATATTACTTAAATAAAAAGAGAAAACTGAAGACGTTTACCCAGATGGAGTCTCTTAGATGAAAATAGAAGCATAGGTTTACCATGCCCATATGCTTCATGGTATGATGGATGGTAGTGGTGAGGTACAGCTGTGTGTGTGTGTGTGTGTGTGTGTGTGTGGTGTGTGTGTGTGTGTGTGTGTGTGTGTGTGTGTGTGTGTGTGTGTGTGTGTGTGTGTGTGTGTGTGTGTGTGTGTGTGTGTGTGTGTGTGTGTGTGTGTGTGTCATGTGTCCATATTGTTTTGGGTCTGCTGCATGTGTATCACATATGAGGCTCTGTGTTGGTCCTCAGTTAATGTATGATAGACACTCCACAAGCATACAAACTCTCCTCTCACACGCAACACACATTGTTCAAACACACAACATTCGGTGTGGACCCGAAACTCAACATCTCTCACCTATATAAATCTGACGAAACCACCAACACTTCGAACCCTCATTGTTTGGACAGCAAGCTACTAAAAGTCTTATCTGGGTTAAGAAAAAAGACACTACTCTGAGTTAAGTCGCATTATCAGCTGAGAAAATCTCCCAGTTGTTCACAGTGCAGAGACTGTGGGAAAACCCCCGGGAAATGGTGTTGCAAACTTTTCAGCAAATGATAAATGCTGCAGGAATGATAAAAAACAAACCAAATCCTCTGTATCTCTTTAATGTTAGGTTCCAGCATATTGTAAAAACAAACAAAAAACTGGAAGAGAGAGTAAAGGCTAGATTTGGCATTTGTACCAAAAACGTGTTTATTGTTAATTTCCATGGCTAAAGCTAATAGTCTCAAGAACATAAGATTTAGTGAAGATGATGTGTTTCCTGCTGTTTTTCTGAGGCTTAGCTATATGTGAGTCTGTGGTTCTCCTTCTTTATTGAACTGTCTTCAACAATGGATGCTGTCATGAGTCAAAGAACGCGAGCCTTCTGTCTTTTGCAACACAGCATTTTTACCACATTGTATAGAGGTAGAGGAAATACTAGACAGCAGAATCAGCATCTGTGTGTGTGTGTGTGTGTGTGTGTGTGTGTGTGTGTGTGTGTGTGTGTGTGTGTGTGTGTGTGTGTGTGTTTAATGAGAGAGCTGGAGGACTTGCTTGTAAACAGGCCTTTAAATGAAACTAACAGCTTCCTCAATCATCTAGCCAAAACCACATGTACCATACAAGTCTGGCATTGGGGTTGATTTCTCCGCCAAACAACAAACAGCTGGGAGGTCCCATAACTGTACGTTATTCCCCCAGTTAGTCAATAAGCCTGTGTAAAAGTGTATGTTATGGGTAATTTGTTGAACACATTTAAAGATGCTGATTTTATAAAACATTCAGGGCATTGAGGCATCATGTATTTGAATTCTCAAAACTAAAAAACAGAACACTATTTAAATAACTTAGTGACAAACCAGGCAATATATATTTATATTTTTCTTGCATTTCAGTATATGTATGTCTCAATGTGGCGACATATTAGCTCTTCTGGCTAACATTTGCCATCTTTAGCACAACATGCTAGATTTTTTATAACATTAGTGGGCCGATTGGGGCAGACCGACAAGCAGTGAATACAACATTGTTGTATTATCCCACACATTTCATTAAACAATCTGAAAACTGTTACCTATTTACAGATTTAGCAGACACTGGAAAACATTCATTAGCAGTCCGGTTTCTGTCCGCCTGATGAGAAAACTCGATATTCTTTTAGCTCTGTTTTCCTCTCCACCAACTCATGAGGTAAAGAGGGGAACTGCAGCGTCAGTTCATATCTGTCTGCGGGTTCATCACAACAACATAATTATCTCGTCAATTGTGAATATAACAAAAGTATTGGTTAGTAGAGTTTTACTGACAAAGTAAACATACATGTCAGCAATCCTCCCCTAACCAAGGCCTCCTTGGTTTTTCTTCTGGGAAAAAAACAAGTTGAGAAGCAACTTTAGAATTATGACCAATGCTAAAAACACATCATACACAGCTGTGGATACAATTACAGTGAGAGAGAGTTTGTGCTGATTGGACCAGAGGCCTGAGGCCTGTACTACGAAGCCGGATTTTCGCTTAGCCGGCTGACTTCAGGGAAAACTCGGGCTTTCCGGTCCTACGACGCGCTGGTTCTCTTTTTAGCGGGCTAGATCTCCATGGTAACTTATGCTGAGCGGCTAACCTCCTCGGGAGGAGGTTTGGTTGCAGGCTAAGAGATCAACTCAGTGAAAGCACCGCCTGCTGACCAATCAGAGCTCCGTGTGCGGAGTTTAAAGCTATCAAGTCATATTACAGGATAGAGGAAATACAGAAAAACTGCCGTTGCAGGAAAGACGGCCGGCAAAAATCAACTGACTGTGTGAACGTGAAAATTAATAGAATATCCCCTCCCATCTTCACAGCAATCTGACTATTATAACATTAGCGTTAAGAAAGCTTACTTAAATATCTGCCACGACATAAGTAACCGGATCAGAGTAACATTAAGTACAGTCCGCGGCACTGTGAGTGCAGACGTCGATGTGTCCCATTATCATTCATATCATATCACATCATAATGTATCATATATTTCCTTATCTGAGTCAGCTTCTTGAGCCGTATCTGGCCGTGCAACACTCACAGTGTCACATACTGTATGCAGAAGTATTATTTTAAGCAACACATTAAGTTGATGAAACACTCGAGTCAAATGTAATTAAAGTCAGATCCACTCGTGTCTTGGACGGGGCAGCAGTGATATCATAAACCTGTTGATGTACGCATTCAAACGCTTTTTCTTTTACCAGCTGTATTCACCTTGCAGGTGCAGCTATGTGGCTTTTATCCTGGATAAAGTGTTTAAGTCATGGATGTTTAAAGTTTAACTTCTTCATATTTGACTCATATTAAAGTTCACTTTTCATTCAGGAAGTATGACGCTGCGCTGTCAGTATGCTTGTCCATGTTTGTGATTGGTCGAATGCTCCAAATACCACCCCTTTCATGTGAACGCGCACCTAACTAGATAGGACACGGCTGGCTTGAGCGATCCACTTGATAACCAGCGTCGTAGTAGTTTAGCGAGAGCGCGTATGTTTTGGATTGGGCCAACCGGCTAACTCAAACATATCCGGGTTAGGTTGAACCAGCTTCGTAGTACAGGCCTCTGTTCATATCTTACCTGTGTGTTGTGCTACTGAAGAGTCAGAGGGATGGGATATGTGAGCGGTCCTGAGCTTCTCTATGTTGCTGTTATGGCACCACAGGGAGCTTCATTGCAGATTGTTTTGACTTATGGTTTCCAAAGCAGACTTTAGTTCAGAGGAGAGGAATGGCAGTAGCTTTAATGATTTCACCAGTCAGGGTTTTGTTCTGTTTTTTAATGCAATGACAAGTCCCTTGACTATGACGCTTTTTTAGGAATATCTTCAAAAAATAACATAAATTATTGTCTCTTTTACTGTCCAAGTTTTATGAAATAGTAATCATATCATCTGAAGTTTGAAACCACATTACAAGGATTCCACCACAAAAACAAATTAGAGATGAGAATTTGTTGGGAGACACTAATGGAGGTTAACTGATACAGCATGCATACTGCCACATATTTCAAATGTTGTGTGGTTTGGTTTCAAATAGAGGTTTTGTTCATGCTGATTATTATTCGGTAAATATCGGATCTCCTGGCTCTATGGATATGAAAAGTAGGAAAGCAGTCTATCTCTGGTTTAAGTGTGCAAGTACAACTGATTTCAGGCAGTGTGTATTCACACCAAATCAGCTTTTAGGGCAATTAACACATGGTTGTATGGTGGTGTGGGAATGGTAGTTAAATGTGAGTGAACTGCAATAAACTGCATGACAATTTAGCTATTTATGAGGTAGAAGTTGTACCCCTGGGTGCTCTCTGAAAAAGGCCAAAAATTGGCAGAATTTGAGAAAACAGCCCCCCGACCAAAGAGCATGGCATATGCAATACAGTAACAATTATTACTAACTAGTCATTTTTATACTTGGGTAGCGTGATCAGTCATGTTTTGCAGGCCTTTGACACCCTGTGAAAATATGACATATTTTGATTTGGGGCTCACTTCAGTATCGGCGAAGAAATTCAGAGCTGTGGGGAAAATGTTTTCTTGTTAAGTTTGCTGCAAAATGCTACGTTTTCGAGACTGTCCTGCAGCGGGGGATAGCTATAGCCAAGCAAGCAGTTTACTAAGCTAAATTCCAGCTTCATATTTGAAGATATCAAAGTCGTCACTCTACTTATGTAGGCCTTACACTTTTCAAATGAGCAAATAAGCATATTTCTCAAAATGTCAAACTATTGTGGTGTTATGAAGTTTATGGGCTACTTGTATTGCCTCTCAGCAGCAACACGGAACAAGTGATCTTTTCATCATGACTTCATGTACCCAACAGACTGCCGGCTGGTCGTCATTGGAACAAGCTTACAGAGACTTTTATGGTTAATACTCATCCCTCAAAAAGAACCATGTGGTATTAACTCTGTGGGTCCAGACATAGCAGAAGTCTTAGACCATCAAACGCACTTACAGGCTTTACAAGACATGGTGTCACCTGGAAAATATGGGAGTCATTGCACACTGCGCACACACACACACTGCGCATGCACACACACACACACACACACACACACGCACACACACACACACACACACTCACACACACACACACACTCACACACACACACACACACACACACACACACACACACACACACACACACGTATTAATACGTATTTTCCTAGTTATTAGTAAGCTGAGTGAGCACTGCAAGTATTGTGTCCTTTTTTGTGTCTTTATAGTCAGTTTTAGAACGTTTCAAATGATTTCACTCTCGTAAGCTGATACACACTTGTATTATGTTTGATTATTTTATCTAAGACTAAGATTAGTATGTTAAACAAAGTTGTCATTTAATAAATGGTCGATGGACCAAAGATGTCACAAGATGTACAGGATAAGTATAAATAAAAAACCACTTCAAAATGAGTGCAGAGAATCACACATGACTCTTTTTCAATGGCACACAAGATACAAATATTTTTTAACTAAGACACATTGACGATTAGCTTCAGGCATACATTATACAAGTTAACCCAAAAGTGATGGCAACCATCTAAACTGAATTAAAACCAAAATATTTTAAATTGAATAAAAACAAGTATGATGTGAATCATTGCATCAATGTAAAGTTAATTATTGCTGCAGCAAACACACGAAAATGTACATTATGTTTGTTGTGCAAACCAATTTTACATTTTTGGATAGTGGAAATAAGCTTTAAAATCAAAGTTGAATTTAACCATATTTGCAAGAGGTTTTGAAAGATTTTGTAAAGTATGGGTGTGGCTGTTTAACACTCTCTAGCTAACTGAGTCAGATTGTCCTGTGGGACAGCTACTGCATATTGACATTCATACATGTTTCCCTTTCTCCTCACACAGTAACACAGCTCAGTTTAACCACAGCATATTATTCCGCACAGTCAGAAACGAGAGAGTTTGTCACAGTTCCTATTTGGTAATAACACACAGATGTTCGAGCCTGCAGTGCTGAAACAAAACTTTGAAAATATATAATGGGAGAGAGAGAGAAACCCATGGGAATGTTCTTATGGCATTGGTAATGTTTTGCTCATGACATTTGGCAGTATGATAAAATAATGTAACACTGGTTTAGTATACAAGTCCAGGCTTTGGCATCGTTGGAAGGTTTTCCCTTCAGTGCCTGGGTGTGTATCTACATCTTGAAGACACAATTCTTCTCTGGTTTAGCTGTAAGCCTTAGTTGATAAAAAAAGTCACATTTCTTTATAGATGAATCAGGCCAATTTCATACAGTAACTCATTCGGTTGCATGTTGAGAAGGTGGATCAAATGTAAATACTTTCAAGCACTCGCAGGCAGAAAACCCAGTCGGATGGCAGCTGATGGTGGGACATTTTGTTTCCATCCAATCGTAGGATCTTTATCCTGGAGTAGGAAAGAGGTCCCACCTCTCTGCAGAAACTGGTCACGTTGAACTCTGTTGTGAACAGAAAAAAAGACAGGAATTTTCCAACATATACAGAACATATGGTATTATTAGAGACTCATTATTCACCAAAGTGACAACTAAATGTATGCACATAGTAAATCAGTCAAGCGAGCTATGATTTGACATCATATACATGTGTTCATCGTGAATTATACAGATAAAGCACTTCCTGTGAAGATTGCCTTATCATATAAGGTTTATCAGTCTGCTTTTCGTAGAGTCTTCATTTCCTGAGAGTCTAGCAGGTGCCACAGTGAAAACGGAGGATGAGGAAACCACAACGCCTTCTTCTGCTTTCTCGCTTAATTTCAGTTGTAGGGCCTCCCTCGGGGCTCAGGCTGTAAGCTTTGGCAGACAAGGAACTCGGTAGCTGTCTCGCTGCTAGCTAGACGGTGAGGTGAGTTTTTGTGAAAGTGTTTTGCCGTCTGAATGTCCCATTATTACACGGCCCTGGCTGTCTGAAGCTTGACAGGTCCAGAACACTTTCACTTCACGCACGCCAGGTCATTGCTTCAGGATAGGATTGTAGGCCAATGTGGCTAAAAGACTGCCCCAATGTTATTAGAGTCCTATGGCCAAAAAAAAGCCATTGATGGGGAGCAGACAGAGAGAGAGAGAGAGAGAGAGAGAGAGGTGGGGGAGGAAAGAGGAGACGATCAAGAGGGGAACAGCATGTGCTTCTGGCTCGTCTGGCACTCTTCCCTCTGAATCCATCGCAGATGTTTTCATACCACTCTGCTCTCTTCTTCGCTAGCCTACTTTCCCCCCATATAACCAACCAATATTCCCTCTACCCTCCTCCACCCTCTTCTTGCTTTTTGTCTTACAATGTCTCATAGTTCCCTCCCTTGTTTTTATTCTCTCCCTTCTTCCATCTCCGACTCTCCTCAGCCCAACACCAGCCCCTCTTGTTCGAATGCTGTGATGAGGCCCGGCTGTGTTGAGGTGGCTGCGACTGTGCGGGTCACGTTTTCCACATTTTTCCCTCTCCCTCACAGCATGGTTTGGGTGTTTCACCTCAACAGGTGGTCAGCCACATACCTCAGTTATACTTTACTTCACTGTCCCAAGATGTGAGTGCTTTTTCGAATTGTTAAAGGTAGGAATGTGTTTACACCTGTGGGAAATTAGAGTTTCACAGACGTGAAGTCAGTGCCTCTGTTGCAATAACAGTTTGAAAGGTGATTGCATTTTTGAGTGTATTTGCATGTTTTCTTGTGTATGTGTGCACCTCACCTTGTATTTCATTGGCCTCCAGGTAGAGGTACCTCAGGGTGGTGGGGACTGTGGGAACTGTTTTTAGTTTGTTGTAAGAGAGGTCCAGTTCCACCAAGCTGGAGAAATTGAAGACCTTCTGGTGGATGACGCCGCTACGCAGACTACAGTTACTCAGACGAAGGTACTTAAGGTTGAATAATCCCACAAAACTGTCTTCATTCAGCGCAGAGAGCGTGTTATTTGATAGATAGAGCTGCTCGACAGAAGGAGATAGATGTCTGGGGACAGCGGAGAATAAATTACTACTGAGGTCCAGCAGGTTCAGACTGACCAGACCTGTATGAAGAGGGGGAAAACACACAAGCACACAAAGATGACTAATGACTCATTTGAATGAAAGAGAGAAGAAATGTAAGCAAATTATAATTGCCAATATTATTAAGTGTTACATTTCATGGTTTGATTCCATTTAATGTTTGTCTCCGGTGTTCCTTGCAAAACCTCTCTTCTTTTCTGCATGCATAAAGGAAGGAAGCTACCTTACCTTTAAAGTCTCCCTCTGTGATGGTTCGCAGTTTGTTTCCCTGCAGCAGCAGCAGTGTCAGGTTGTGCAGGTTCTTTAAAGCTCCAGGACTGATGCTGCTGATTCGGTTGTGGGCCAGTCGCAGCTGCTTGAGTCCAGCTGGTAGAGCGCTGGGCACTGATCTCAGGTGGTTGTGGTTGGCAAAAAGGTAACACAGCTGGGTCTGGTTCTGCAGCCCGATCTGGTCCAGCGTGTCGCTCTGCAGCTGGTTGTGATCCAGGATGAGCCAGCGTAGATCAGTAACGTTGGCCAGAAAAGAGGAGGACAGGGACGAGATGTTGTTACCCTGAAAAGAACAAAAAATACTTTGATGTAACGCAGTTGAAATAAAATGTTTACAGTAATGTGCAGTGTTGGTCAGCCGCTGTGGGAAGTGTACAATGTGAACAGGAAATGAAACACAATTTCCACTATGTTAGTGGTAGTAGGGACAACACAAGCCCAGTGTTTGTTTTACCTGTAGAAACAAGTATTGAGTCCTGTCCGGCAGGTGGTCAGGGGTGTCTGCCAGGCCTCTGTGGTCGCAGTAGAGTGCAGTGGGCCACTGGAGGGGGCAGTCACACTGCTGAGGGCAGGACTGGGGGTTGTTGGCTCTCAGCCAGGCTGAGTCCAGCCGTCCCTGCAGGCTTATCACACTTGGCTCCCCTAGCAGGCGATTAATCCAGAGAGGAACACCTCCGTAGTCCATGTGAACTTCAATAGTGGCTGAGGCAATGTTAAAAACACACAGTAGCACCAACATGGCACAGCACAGGAGAGCCATGGAAACGTCAGATATTAAAACCTGCAAATAAACATACACAGAAAGTTGCTTTAAAACATAAACACATTTTACACAAGACAACAATGAGCAAAGTATAATGTTGTTTAAAGTTGTATAATTTATTTGTTGTGCCTCTGTAAGAGCTTGGTCAAGTCTTAAAAATGTACCAAAATTATATCGGGTTTTGGCATTTGCACAGGAACAGAAAGCCTGCCGGTCATTGAGTTTGGGGTGGGCTCCAAGTCAAGGAAAGTCTATTAACCCTGGGGTTTTGGAGCTTGACCCATACTCGCTTCTTTTGTTTTTGCCGGTTGCTTGCTGGGTGAAATGACCCGGAAGTATTTAAGTGCCAGCCATGAGAAGAGCTGTTGAATGCTCCCCTTTAATCTCCTTTAATATGCAGGACCCTTTGCTAAAATAGGAGAACATACTGTCCTACAATTGGACTGTCAATACCATTCTTATGAATTTTCATTTACACCCCATTCATTTTACATCTAAATTGGAACAGAGATATCACAGAGGATAAATCCAAATAATAACCAAATAATTTCCTTGTCCTTTAATCTGTCTTTTGCAAGTGCCCCAACTCAGGTTGAAGTACTACATTGGTTAGTTGTGCCTTTAAGAAATTATGCAAACTGTAAGCTTTTGTAGTTAAGATGAACACATATTTCAGTGTGAGCCCATAAAACATATTTTCACAGAAGCCCCTCTTCACGATGTTTTATAGAATTAGATTGAAATGAAAAAGAATTGCATTGTACTGTTCGATGTGAAGCACAAATGGAGATGACTGCTTTTGCACACAGAATTCAAACTGCTGCATATGAGAGGGAAGAAGAATACAATTTTTTCCACTGCATGCACAGCTGTAGATGATTACAGTAATAGCCACAAAGTTGACAGCCACAGAAGCACACACTCACACACACAGACTCTCAGTTACTGTATGACATAGCAGCTAGTGAAACCTGTTTGCATCATCAAAACGTTTGACTTTATCAGCATGTTTGCAATGTTCCACTTTACCTTTCTTACCTTCAGGCAGCAGTCTTTACAGTACATGCTAAAACGGTTTCCCAGAGATAAACACGGTTATGCAATCATGCCAGCGTTAAGTAAACAGACACACAATGTGGATTAGATCATTTCCAGTTCTGCCTGCCTTACAGTAGAGAGGAAATGAAGTGACATGAGAAACCAATAACAGACTAACACTTACCTGTTTGACCAGGAGCTACTGAATGGAGACAAGTTGTCTTGAATTCCCAATGAAGCCCACGGGAGCTGCAGGAAAATATGTGTGTGTGGTAATGCGTCGGCATGTGTGTGTGTGAAGTTACAGTGTTTACCCACTGTCTGATACATTCCTCTTCTTCAAACGCTGCCCATATCCCAGACCCTAACCCTCCTCCATGATATCCCCCTGCCTTCTACCAGCCCTTTGTAATAGCTAAACCTGCAACATTTGGTGGCAATGTGTTTGCTTGTACCCTGAAAATAAATTACATACAAAGAAGAAGGAAAAGAAGGAAAAATATGACCTGATAATTGCAAGGATTGTATTCTGATGGTAAATATGAGAACATTTTGATCAGCATACAAGTATATCTCCCTAAGTGTGTGTGTGTGTGTGTGTGTGTGTGTGTGTGTGTGTGTGTGTGTGTGTGTGTGTGTGTGTGTGTGTGTGTGTGTGTGTGTGTGTGTGTGTGTGTGTGTGTGTGTGTGTGTGTGTGTGAGAGAGATTGGGTCTACAGTATGTGTTCTGCTTGGAGGAATTCAAACCTCAAAGTACCTGGGGAGCCAAGGAGACCATTTTGTGTGTGTAAGTGTGTATCTTTGTATTTCCATCTGTGTGTGTGTGTGTGTGTGTGTGTGTGTGTGTGTGTGTGTGTGTGTGTGTGTGGGTGTGTGTGTGTGAGGAAGAAGAAACTCCTTCCAAGCAGAGGAGAGGAAAACGATTCCAGATTCCTTCCCCCAAAATACGAAGGGAGCACTCGCACTGTGAGAAAAGAAGAACGGTGGATATTTCTCCATTGGAGCATGGAAAGGGCGCCCTCCGGGAAGAACACAGGGAACGACACCCACAATGGAGCTTAATTTATGACACGTATAATGATGCCTGTTTCTTGGGGGGTAAAAAAGAGGTTATGGAGCATTTTCTTTGAACCATAAACAGTGAACATAGCACATGGGTGACTGTAAATGCAGCTTCCACCCTCTCAGTTCGTGCCCTGTGGTATACACTTTATGAATGTGTTGGCCATCAAGAGAAATATGTGTGTGTGTTTGGTTAAAGCGGTACTTTGAGCTTTCTATTCAGATGTGATTTTAGACTTAGGTTTATTATTATCCTCAAACTTGTTTACATTTTGCAGCATTGATTAATATTATCGTTACTGCTAGGCGCATTTATGTGTGAACGACATGAAGATTTGCAGAGTGGTGAGTGGTGTGAATCTGTCGTGTAAAGTAGGCACTTGTAGTTCATGTCCCTCAAAATGATATTTAGTGTAAGCGTCTTTTTATACTTGTGTATTGTACAATACCAGGTTATTTTTGTGGATTTCAGTTTGAACCATAGTGGTGGAGTGATAGACAATCCAATATTGCCATGCCACTTCCATGCTCCAAAACTAAGAGAAAATAAATAAAATAATTTTCCATTCAACTACATGACATGTTACTTGTTAGACGCTTTTATCCAAAGCGACTTACATACTCAATACTGTGGGCAATCCCCACAGGAGCAATTTGGGGTGAAGTGTCTTGCTCAGGGACACAACGACATGCTGACTGCAGTGGGGTTTGAACCTGTGCTCCCCCTGATCCCAACACCAAGGCTCTATCCACTGCGCCACACGCCTCCCAATCTTCAATCTCATACATTGTGTTACCACCCCTTGTTCTGCTGTTCATTGTTGAAGATTTCTTGTCAAGCTGTCTCAGGTTTTTTTTTATTTCTAACTGGTTGGGTGAAGGTTTCTGGAAATGATGTGCACAGTGTGCCAGCAGCAGCTTTTGGCAGATCCTCACCAAGCTACACACCCTGCTCACTTTCTGTCTGGTTTTTACATCAACAGGAGAGGGAAATGGAAAAGGCCTCCTTCCATCCCCTGCTGGCTCACATCCCTCTGCTCCAGAATAACACCGTTCACTGAAACATTACAAGCCCTGCTCACAAATATTCAGCTTACTCACACATTGAGTCAGTGTTAACTTAGATGCATGCTTTTGCTTTATGAATATTGAAATGTTCCTCATAAAAACATCTTGTTATTTTGAGACATTTAGGTAAAAAAAGCTTGAAAAACTTAAAGGTCAGTTTAATTCTGGGTCTGCATAGAACCATGGAAACAACCAAAACAATGGAGTACACATACCCGTGAGAGAGGTTCAAAGAAATATTTAGATATGTCATAAAATATAAAGATAAGACAAATAAGACAATAATTAGCTAGCTAGCACTGACACTGACACTAGATTTGCTTCATGCTCTAACTGAAGCTTCAAAGTTGTCTCCTAACAGCACCAACTGATGCGCACGGATCACTGGATCTGTTATCTAGCTGATTTTTGTCTAGTTTCTGATGAAAAGTAAATTAATCAAAATCAGTGCCTGAACATGGTCACAGCTATGTGCACAGCTCCCATCCAGTGATGTGCCAACATCAACATCAACATCAGACTGTGCATAACTGCACTGTTTGTACAATGACTTTGACCTGCACTCGCATCTGCACACTTACAAGTACATATATCCAACAACCAGAACCCAAAATATGCGTAAATCCTAACAGTTACTGTATAATTGTATTTTTTAATCATTTTTTTGTATTATTTTGTTTACCTTGTGTTAATCTGTAATGTCCTGTTTTTCACTCTCACTCTCTTGCTGCTTTAACTCCTGAATCTCCCCACGGGATCAATAAAGGGCCATATTATCTTATCTTATCTTAAAACATTTTGTTAATTCATTATTCAAGTCAAAATAACAACATTTCTTCCTATGTTTTAAATCAATACAGATGTTATGTAAAAAGAAGATGTTATATTAACTGTCTGTGCTCTAATGCGTTAAAAAATTAATAACAGGAAATGTAATGAGTCAGTGTCTTTTCACAACAGTTACATTTCCCATCGCAGAAATTGCCCTCAGGCGGTTTCCTGTTTGAGAGCTGGCAGAAGCAACTTGTAAGATATTGTAAGGACACGCCTAAAACTGATCCCTGAAAACCACAAATACTATATGGTGAAAATGTTTCATGTAATTGCAAGTCTTACCTTGTTTGGCTATGTGTCTGTAAGCATGTTGAGAAGAACATATTTTTGGGATATTACAGAGTTCAAGAAGACTACTTTCTAGTAAACATGGATTTAAACAATATTAGATTGTAATATGTTTCAATGGTAAATCCCCATTGCAAATGTTTTATGATAAAATAAATGCATTCAACATGTGTACATTCAGGGTAACACTGAACATAAGCATACATTACGTTTATTTCAAAGAAAACTGACATGGTAGCATCAGTTACATGTTTAAAAATCCAGTCAAAAACCGCTGAGAAGCGGGCTGCAAAACACGCTGTTCTAATATAAATCGCTCTGTTTCTTTATACGTTATACAAAAACATAATGCATTTGATTATGTTATGTTGTTATATCGTATTAAATGGTAGGCTTAAAAACTTGATTCTAATTGCTCAATTTGGACATTCAGATGTTTGCTGTTACTTGATAGCAAATTGCTGCTATTGAACCGTTGCTAAAGGAAGGGCAATTCAAACGTGTGAACTTGACGTTGAGCTCTTATATGAAGTTGTTGCCATTGCACAGTTCAGCTGTTCGTACACAGTCGAATTTACAATTTTTTCTCAAAGGAAGCAATATGATAATTTTCTTTTCATTAAAGGTGGGGTAGGTAATTTTGGAGAAACCAGCTCGAGATCGCTAGAATTTGAAAATACACAGCCGGAAGAAATCTGCTACTTCCTTACAGAGCCCCTCCTCTAACACACACGAACGCGCACACGACCAATGAGGGCACGAGATAAATGTGTGCACAGATGGAAGGCTGACAGGCAGGTAAGCCATCCAGTTATTTTAGCCGGGCCGGCTAAAATGATTGGTCGTGCTTTTTACAGTATTACGGCTTCCACAGATGAAATGTTAAGCACTTAAGATATTCATTGCTATCGGGATGTTAAGAGCATTCCATGGAATATAACAAAAAGTGTATCTCGAGCCGGTTTCTCAAACTTACCTACCCCACCTTTAATGATGGATCGTTGCACATTATCCCTTACTTGTAAGGATTTCTCATGGGCATAAAGGTTGCCATGTTTGTTTGTTGTGTTTTAAGTAAAAATAAGATAATACCATAAATAGTTGCCTGGCTGTTACTGACTAATATTAAAGAAATATAGATGCTTACACTGGGTTTTTTCCCCTCCATCTGATGCCTTAATTTGTCCCTGTATTACAGTTCCTGTATTGGACACTAGATGGCACTGTTTTCTCTATAATCAATTTCTCTTTGTTGATCAATTACAACTTCACATTGACACCAGTATGTATATTCTTTTTAGGCATGGGATGTATAAATTCAATTGAATAACTTTTAACAGAATAAAGAAGAAATCTCAGGCTAAACTCTACGCTACATATTTTCCTTTATCTTTATGAATGATAAAGTGAAAGCAGTTTCACTTTATGATAAAATGTGTAAGAACTGCTTTAAGTTGAATGTGTTTTCATGGTAATGTTCACACTGAGTTTCACTTCTACAGCAGATGGTCCCTGGCAGGAATTTGAAGTGGAGACAGTGCAGTTAACATCTCAGACCACCTGCTCACCAGGACACCTCCAAATCAGGCTCAGGATTACAATTTACCAACATACTCTACAACAATCCGCTTCTTTCATCTGCATGAACAAAAGACGAGAAGTTTGACACGGTGTAATCATTGACACGTGTGTGTGTGTGTGTTTGTGTGTGTGTACATCTGCTTTTTATTGCATGGTTTATGCTGCCCCCTGTGCCCTGGGGTGCCTTGGTTTAAGTTGCCTCAACTAAACACATTGTCCAGGGCTTCTAAAGCTGCATCTCTATCATTGCTAGAATCGTATTCTTTAATTTGTCTAGATTTTAAGTGAGAGCATCTTCTCTAAGAATATGTGTTTTCTATGTAACGTTTTTAAATTCAACAGTCTATGTATGCCTTGTATGTAAATGGTAGCTTATACATACCTACCTTTTGGCTTAAAGCAAGGCTTAATAAAGGATGTTGCATTGGTGTGTGGGTGTGTGTGTGTGTGTGTGTGTGTGTGTGTGTGTGTGTGTGTGTGTGTGTGTGTGTGTGTGTGTGTGTGTGTGCGTGTGTGTGTGTGTGTGTGTGTGTGTGTGTGTGTGCGTGTGTGTGTGTGTGTGTGTGTGTGTGCGTATGTGTGTGGGTGACACAATCTATAGTAAATATGAACTGCCACAGATTGCACCATGAGCTGGTAATAATTTACAAGAAAGTACTTTTTATTACTTTTGATTCTAAAACAGATAATTGTAGTCCTAATTTGAATCCCCGAGTCGCATTTAAAACCCTTTGGTAAAGGCAAGGCAAGGCAAGTTTATTTATATAGCACCTTTCAACACAAGGCAATTCAAAGTGCTTTACAAAAATGGAAGACATTAAGAAAATGGCATTTAAAATCAGTCATTAAAAATAAAAGATAATAAAATAAACATTAAAAGAAAAAATACATGGATAAAAGTTACAGTGCAGTTTAAGATGTGAATAGTTCAATTAAAAGCAGCGGCAAAAAGAAAAGTCTTCAGCCTGGATTTAAAAGTAGTAAGAGTTGCAGCGGACCTGCAGGTAAAGACTCTACGTACACTCTCCGCACCACCTGTTGTGAGATAGTAGTAGGTATAGGTTTGCACCTATAATACTTTTTTGGTTTTTCTTCTTCTGTCGCAACACAAAACAGATTTTCAACATTTTCCCACATATTACTTAGAAAAAGCAACACTACATTGTTTTTATTTATCCAAATCTATTCAGCCATCATGCGTCTGTATGGCATCAAGACCAAAGGACATCTGACTGCCATACGTGGCCTACATAATAATAGGATCTTTGGTCCATTTTATGCAAAACAGTAGACCTAAAATAAAAATGAATTTCCTTTCACTAACCTGCTTTCACTCCGTAAATAAACATGCCTTTGATTTGCTGAACAATGCTAGGCAAATAAGAAGTTTAATATAGTTGAATGTTTTTGTTACTATAGCTCTTTTTCTGCAGGTGAGTTATAAGAGCCGTCAGAATGATAATAACTGTGAAAAGGTCACGACCTGAGTTGAAAAGCAAAGCCTCAGTCCTCTGATCGTCTGATCCCTGCTCATGACCCCATCAGACAGAGGATGGACACGGGGGGGGGTCCATCTGGGCTTTTGCTTTGAAGTCCTGGTAAGCAGAGAATCAATTTCTCTCACTCTAAATTATAAATGCTGCTGTTTGTTTTTCACTCTTTCACATGTTTGCATCTGTAGACATGTATCTTTCTGTCACACACACACACACACACACACACACACACACACACACACACACACACACACACACACACACACACACACACACACACACACACACACACACACACACTAACTCAGACTGTCTAACCCTCTCTTATAAACATGCCTTTGACCTTATTTTGCAAGAGGTGGTAACCTCACAAGACACCGGGTTCATCCTGGATCAATTCACTGGTGCTGCTCTAAACAGCTTCTCCGTAAAGAAAAACAATAATGAAGTCACTTACAACTATATAATCACATTTAAAATAAAAAATAACAAACAAAGATTAACTGAACTGAGTAAATGAAGAACAGTTAAATATATTGCTTTATGTATCTGTTTGTCCCTCCTGTTTTGAAATCAAGTGTTCAATCTTCCTTAATCTGATCCTCCACAATCACAATCAAGGCCTTGTGAATTCCTCACACCAGAACTTCTATTAAGCTTTAATGTAATGTTGCCATCTGGTTATTCCTTTCTTCCCTTCTTGATCTATAAAAACTTAAACCATAAAGATGTCGGACACAACGGCTGCAACAACCACCTTAGAAACATGTGTTAGACATTTGCATAGCACACTTTCCTTTTCTGTTTCTTAATTTAGCGGTGACAGGACTGCTCTTCTATCACTCACAGGGATATGTTAAAAGACGTAGGCTTAAAGGAATATTTCAAAATGTTGAGAGGTAGGCTTACTTGGTTTGTTACCAAGAGTAACAGTATTAAAAAAAACAGATGCCATTTCTTCTGTGAAATATAAACAGGCAGAATAAATTGAGTTTATCATTTTTTGTATGGATTAAATAAATGGAATATAACATCAGACCTAGAAATGCTTTATGTGTCCCACAGTGGGGACATTTACAAATATAAATATGTAGGCTAACATGTGTGTGATAATAGAGTAAAACACATGTGATAAAATTATACATGGTAAAAGCAAGAAGCAGCAAATTAAAAGTGAACATATTATTAAGTCTTATTAAGTAACATTACTATAATATATAATCTATTTAACACATAACATTAACAAATAAAGTGTATACTAACACAACATGCCAGTTAGTCAGTTTAATACGTAGCAGTTGGACGTTTTTTTATGTTCAGGCATTGCAAGCCAGCTGTTTTCACAAGTTTTGTTCTCAACTAAGAGGCTGTCCAAAAATGAATTGAAAGGGTAAGTCAAGTCAAGTAAAACTCGTTTTTTGTTTATTAAATCTATTTATATCAAATTACAATTACAAACATACTGTTGTTTAAAAAAAAGAAAATCATGCTTTTCCCCAGATTTAGCTCCTAGCTCATTTCCATCTGTAGTCCCTTGAGGTTCTTCCCACCTCTTTAATTTATGTACAGTCCCTAACTGTCTCCAGGCTCTTGCTCCATATTTAGTGGATGGACATAAGAGTGTTATTGATCCTTTCCTCCAGCTCTTGGAGAGAAATAAAATATTCCAGGTCAGTGTCAACGGCCCGCAGCTCAATTATGCATCAGTCCACCATGACATCACTGAGAAATTACACATTTGGTGCGCTGACTTCACATATTCACAGACCTTTCCTTGTTTATTGCTCTGCAGTGGAAGACACATGCAGAAGATGCAGTAATGGTGGGAAATGGACTACATGTTGATCTCTACAAAAGCCAGAGGGTTTGAACTCAACATAACGAAATACACCCAAAGAAATCACTTGAAACCATCTGTTACAAACATTACAAAAAAACATACCAACTGAACTTTATTTAAAATGTATAAGACCCACAAACATGATCCTCCTGTGTAAACATGCCTGGCAGTCAAACTCTGCTCTTGTGACATGATAAAAAGGAGTTCAATGATAACAAGAAACAGAGAAGGAGATGTAGAGAAGAGAAAAGGGATAACAGTTATTCAAATGGCCACAGAAAAAAATAGAAAGGCAGGAAGAGGCCCGCGTTCAGACCAGACAGACTGTCACACATGTTTTCATTTAACCCTTTACAAGATGTGAGGATATTGCAGAGGAAAGGAGAGAATAACATCCATCCCTGCTAGAAAACTCGCTTGTTTTGGTTGTTGCAATCACCTTTACAAATGAGATTATGACAAAAAAGCACACACCTAATAAGGTGCTGTCACAACCATATTGATAAGATAAGATAAGAAGATTTTTTTGTCTTAAAGAAACATGAAAAGGATATTTTTTATTTGAGAGGAAAACAGACAATAAGAATACATAAAATATAAGGAGTAGTGGGGTTCGGCTGAAAGGGGACTGAATGTGCTAAACACAGATGGGAACGATCCCTCACATCTCTTACATTAGTGGAAAAAGAGGCTCTATAGTCTATACAGTGAGAAGTGGGTGTGCACGGCCATGCCTGAACACACAAAATGGGGTGCAGGGGGAGAAAGACCCAACAGTGGAGAGAAAGAGAGAGGGGTGGAGAGGGGGGATGGCAGAACGTTAAGGAGGGAGAGCAGGGAGGGGAGGAAAGTTTTACAAAGTGCTTGTCAGAGTCCCCCTCAGTCCTGAGCACTTTGAGAAACAGATAGGGGACAAGGAGGGCGAGCCTGGTTTCAGGTATGTGTGTGTGTTTGTGTGTGTTTATATGTGTTTGTATGTGTTTGTACAGTATGTTCATGCATTTATGTGAACGTTTGTCAATCTGTCTATGTGGTATTTATCTATGAGAAAACACTTGATGATGATTGAGTTATTTTTTTGTGTAAGCTTTGTTTTTCTCCTGCCAGTCAAAGGGTCATTATTGATATGTTCCCATCATTTTGGGGCCGTATAGGAACCGTTAACAAAGCTGGCATTCATTGCAAGTTTTTTTCCACTTCTTTTTGAATGCTCGCTCTCTGGATTCCCTGTGGTTTAAGACCCCTAAGAATGTACCACATTTCCAAAACAAAGTCAGTAAGCTGCTTGTACCTCTGTCTGTTCGTTTGCCAGATGTTCTCTTAAGATGTGCGAGCAGTTGGATTTTCGCTAACATTTTGTTGGTACATCCTGTACCTAAACATTATATAAGAGAGGACTTTTCATTTATTAGATACAGAGAGTCAGCAGTCAGTTTGCTGTATTTGTTTAATACAAAAAAAGAAAACAGTCAATATAGTCCCATTACAAGAGAACAAGAATAGAAAATTGTTGATTTGTGTATAAAATCGTATTTTGATTGTATTTACTTTGTCTCTTTCTTTGTCTCTGTTAGATTACTGTGAAGATTTGTCCATTTTTGACCATGTGTGCGGTGATAGTCTTCCTCTTGTCTGCCCTCATTCCCCTCTCTCACTGCCAATCACATGACCCCTTCGCCTGGCTGTACGGCCCGCATAGCCACAGATTTGGCTCCCTCCTGGGAAACACCAATGGAGGGCAGTGCCCAGATGAGTGTGACTGCCCCCCCACCTTCCCAGTCGCCATGTACTGTGACGGGCGGGGCCTGACAGCCATGCCCACAATCCCCTCCCGTGTGAAGTACTTGTACCTGCAGAACAATGCCATCACAGCTGTGCCAGACTCTGCTCTCGTAAACGCAACCAATCTGGTGTGGCTCATGATGCACGGCAACCAGCTGACATCTGGCTCCATTGGCGAGAAGGTAAACCTCCATCTGGTCCCAGTCAGATCCAGACACACACGTGAGCTCAAGGCATGAAAGGGGAATGCTGCTCTAAACGGTTGTCAGGTGGCAGGCAGGTGGCTAACAGAACGTAATTAAGTCAAAAGTAATGCTTTTATTACTGCAAATGTGATTTAATAAAGGGGGAATTTTTAAATAAATGTAGACATGAGGTTACTTGTCTGAAATTAATTAAAATTATACTGCAGTTTTCTTTCTGCTACAGCATACACATGTGTTCAGTTTATGTCCTGTATTCTGCTTTGAGATAAAAGGGAGACATTTATAGGTTTTGGTTTATGATAGCTTTATTAATCCATCATAATAAAGATCGATCTGTTCCTACTCAATGTATAAGGAGAACCTTTTTCTCATACAGCCAATTACATTACACAAAAACGTTGTATCATAGGCAGACAGTTCCACTGTTCCACAACCACTCCCTTTTAGTGATTGACATTTACATTTTCTAAATCGTTCTACTACACAGTGCTATACATAAAAGTTCCACAGTACTTGTTGAGTTTCACAACTGCAATTCTTGTATCTAAAATATGCAGTTCATTGAGTTCACTTTCCTCTTCACATCTCCTTCTCTGAGACAATGTGTATTGTTTAACATCCAAACAGTAGCTACCAGCATTAGCTTCTGACCTAACTAACATGAACCTGAATGCAAATACATTTACAAGATACTGCTTACAATTAAAAACATAAAAAAATGCCACTGAAACTTTTCCTGACTGCAAAAAAAGGGATTAACCCATTGAGATTCTTTCACTTAATTGTCTTCGTCATTTTGCAGGCCTTTATGCAGATGGAGGGACTGGAGCGTTTGTATCTACAGTACAACAATCTGACAGCCTTTCCCTCCAACCTCCCTCGCACCTTGCGAGACCTCAGAATTGACCACAACAAGATTGAAAAGGTATTGTTTAGCATTATTTTTGCTATTGTGCAGAGCCCTTTCTGTTCTTGTTCACTCTTTTGGCCGTTCATCACAGACATTAGGCCTTACAAATTATTTCTACTGTTGCCTAGGTAACAACTGCAGACTTGGAGGGAATGGATAACCTCACCATCCTGTATCTCCATGACAACTCTGTCACAGACTTGGGCTCATCACTGAAGTCACTCAAATCCCTCATGCTGCTGGACATCAGCGACAACAAGTTGACAAAGGTGATTTTGTGTCCTCCTCCGTGTATCTCTTGATTTTCTATGCGATCATAGCTGGAAAAGTTTCAGCACCTTTTCTTTTAAGGTGACCTCCCGAAAAAGTTTATTTTCTGATTGACTTGGGAGAAAAGTAGGGTCAAGGTAGGGTAGTTTTAATTGGTGGTTGGAGATATTCAGATGGGGTGCGGTACACTCTAATGATCCTGCATGTGTCATTGTAAGGGAAGCCAAATTTAAGTTTTCTGTTCTTTTTCCTTTTCTTATACCAACAGTGGATCCCTAAAATCTTATAATATAGTTAGAAATTGTATTTTTAACTTGTTAAATCCCTTTTTTCCTGTCTGAGACAGCCCACAAAGTTGTCGTGTTTCACAGTTGTGGGCACTCCAGGTACCCAGGTGTATGTGCAAGAGCTTTAGAAAAGTGAGTTGTTTAATAACATGCCCTCTTTAACTGATCATCCCAGGTCCCAGATGCACTCCCCGAGCATCTGCACCAGCTCTACATGCAGTCCAACTCCATTGATTCTCTGCCAGATGGCTTCCTGGGCAGTTTCTCTCAGCTACAGTACATCAGGATAGCTCACAATCAGCTGACAGACAAGGGCATCCCTGCCAACGCGTTCAATGTGACCGGGCTGGTGGAACTGGACCTGAGCTACAACAAACTGGAGAGAATCCCCCCTGTGAGCACCACCCTGCAGCATCTGTACCTGCAGGCCAACCAGATCAAAGGTAAAGCACAAACAGGATTCATTATTCATTAGCGCCTTTCGATGAGCACCTGGTCACCGGGTTGTGGAGCTGTTTGCTGATGTTTGCAGGTCACTATCAATCAAACCACTGACACACAGTCCTGATAAAGCAGATTATCTTTACAAAAAAGTAATGATCCTGATTTTCATTCAAATAAATGTCTGTTATGTCACTATGTATAGCTAGATTAAGTTAAACAAAGAATGAGTTTTGGGGCCACAGAAAAAGTTTTCAATATTTAATTATTTGCAATATTCAGGGATGCAAACTTGTCACCTTTCGGCGAAATTCGCCGTTTTGATTCCAAAATAGGTCGTTTGTGTGATTCATGTAGATCTGCAATAAAAATATTTTTGGGGTATGGGGGGGGTCTGGGAGCCGGAGTAATCTGCGGCCGCGAGCTGTTATGTGCCATCATGACACGCATGGTGTTCTTTTTTTATATATTATAATGAAGCGCGAGCACAAGTCTTCCTGCCTGTCAGCTCTGCTCATGGATGTATAATAAGGCTCTGCTGCTCCGGGATGAGGGTCTAGCTTCAGCAGCTACATTACCTACGGTGCGTTCGTTAATATTAACTGTGCGGTCCAGAGTCACTGTGGCACAGACTGGACCGCTGGTTAGAACGGGGTGTTCAGAGCAGAGCTCCCTGTCGGAGCGGCAGAGCGTGATGTGCACTGAAAAGTGTTTCTGTCGCAATATTATTTAATGAATCGTTGAGATAGCTAACTAGCATACATTGTCACTATCTGCTAACGTTAGCTTTAGCCTTCGTTTTCAAATAGTTTCTTTCATAGCCTATAAACGGAGGTGGTATAAGTATCTTGTACTTGAGTAAAAGTAGAAGCACTCAGATCTTGTACTTGAGTAAAAGTTGAAGTACTCAGGTCTTGTACTTGAGTACAAGTAGAAGTACTCAGATCTTGTTCTTGAGTAAAAGTTGAAGTACTCAGGTCTTGTACTTGAGTACAAGTAGAAGTACTCAGATCTTGTTCTTGAGTAAAAGTAGAAGTACCAGAGTGTAGGAATACTCTGTTACAGTAAAAGTCCTGCATTCAAAATGTTCCTCAAGTAAAAGTAGAAAAGTATTATCATCAAAATATAGTTAAAGTAGCGACAGCAAAAGTAGTCATTGTGCAGATTGGTCCATTTCAGAATAATATATATGATATGTTTTATAATGATTGATCATGAAAGTGTTCTCAAAGCTGGTAAAGGTGCAGCTAGTTTGAATGACTTTGTATACTGCAGGGTAGCTTGTGAATTTACTCCAGGTGGAACTAAAGTCTGATTTAACACTTGATTATATTTCACATCATTCATCCACATCTGTAAAGTAACTAAAGGTATTAAATACATGTAGTGGAGGAAAAGTACACCATTTACCTCTGAACTGTAGTGGAGAAGAAGAACAAAGTAGCAAAACATTGAAATACTTAAATAAAGTACAAGTATCTCAAAATTGTACCCAAGTATAGTACTTGTTGAGTTTATGAACTTAGTTACTTTACACCACTGGCTATAAAGATAGAAAGACAGCCTTGCACAGGCATGAAAATACATTTTCAAAATGCTCAACAGTCCTGCCAAAATTATAAACTGACTGCTACACAATTAAAATAAATGCTTAAATATATTTCTATTAGATGTGACTCTTTGGCGTTTCTGTTATTATTAACTGCTGCTTTAGTTGTTCTGACTGCTAAAATCCTCTGTTATTCCTCATTTTAAAGCCGATATTCCGTGGGGTCGGGGGGCTCGGATCCTTGTCACCTTTTTCATACCTGATGAGTTTGCATCCCTGAATATTACAAACTGAAAATGTTCTTCTGCTGCTTTCCCTGGTCGCACACCTTTGTCGTTTGCAGCATTAAATCAGATCACAGCCAGATAACAGAATAATGGAAAAAGCCAGATGACCGATGTTGCATCTAAGATAATTGGGTGCCTTGTCTTGTAGCCCTGACTTATTTATTTTAAGGACAATAGTTTATGATGCTGCCCACATTTGTTGTTACACTAGCAAATACAGTGTGTCCAAGTCTCCAAATTTGCATAGACACAAATACATTCCTCACCATCTCCTCATCTCCCCTTTAGAGTTCACTCTGGGCAGTTTCTGCAGCATTGTGGATGTGACCAACTTCTCCAAACTACGGACGTTGCGACTGGATGGAAACGAGATCAGTCGCGAGGACATCCCGGCAGACTCAGCCCTCTGCTTGCGTCTGGCCAACAACATCGAGGTCTAACTGTGCCTATGAAATAATGTGTGGCCCTTTTCAGCATGCACCAACAGTGAGACACATTATACGTGTGACTTGCCAAAACCAAAAAACAGCGGGGGCGATTGCATAATTGAATAATAACAGCAGGTGCCAGCAGATATTAATCCACTTTTCACAACAGATATTTTACAATTTTTTAAATGTTATCAGTGTCAAGTCTGGTTTTATTTGAATAACATTTAAGTTGATCTTAAATAAAGGGAGATGAGCCCTCTGCATTATGATACAGTGTATAATCCTAGTAACTGAGATATTTTAGGAGCCATATTAGGTTTCTTTTTGCGTATTAAAAATGATCTGACCCTGATCCTCCATTTATGTTGCTGTGAGGATCAATGATCTTTGTAATCTCTTCCTACAAAGCATGCCTTCCGTTGTCTGTCGGATAAGTTGTGTTATGTTTCATGTGTGTATTGTATATTTTTAAATCATTATTGTAGCTGTCGCTAAGAATGACCTACCTGTATCACTTCTCACTCAACTCCCACAGTGATGTCTTATCGCAGATGGGCGCATATTTTGTATCTTTGTTATAAATATTGTAACTGTTTCTGTAAAGAAATCCTCCTGTTTCAGAATAAAGTCACCTTTTTTCTTAGAGACAGTCATCTATGTATGTGAAATATTTCTGTACTGTAATGTAGTGAATCACACATAAAAAGGCCTTATCGATTACCACTATTGTGTTACTGTATGCATTACATTGCTTTTTCAATTAAGTGACACATCTTTAAAAGCCTATTACAGAATTAATAAACATTGAAAACCTTAAAAAGACCACTTTACTTTTTCAACATAGTATTTTAAGTGCACTGTGCTTTACTGTCTTTGTGCGTATGAGTGTGATGTTGGTTTGATTTAGTGATTTTATGGACTAATGATCGATTGAAGAAGAGGAAACAGAGGAGCACTGTCCTACAGTTTGCTCAGGATAGAGACCGCTTTTGTTCATATTGACCTGATGCATCTATCTGTTGAATTAAGGCTTATCTAGTCACTTTCTGGTAGTTAAAAAGACAGGCACTTGCTATCTTAAGGTTTATATCAAGGAAATGAGAACTTTTACGAGACCTTTATAATACATGTATACACAAACAGTATTTTCAAAAGACTAGAGATCTTCATCCGCTCACTGATGGTGTCTTCCTGCTCTACATCCAAGTTGTTTGTGAGTGTGAACAACAATAGTTGAAATGCTATAACTAATGGCATGTTTGTCGAACTAATTACAACCAACAGATATGACAGAGGAATGCTCTTAAGAGGATGTTGGCACAAATATTGTAAGTTAATATGCAATGAACTGCAAGACAACATGAGAAGCTTTTCAAAGACTGATTTGGTTTTTATTGTGAGGTGACTGGAGGACAATAAAGGTTATCAGTTCAACCTGCAGCTGGAGAGGCAGAGCTGTCGCAGCAGGGCTGAACCCTCTGTGTGTCAGCGGTGTGATAGTCAGAGGTCACAGGAAGTCTATATTTATATTTTTCTCCATTATTATGTTTGTAATCTGTGGCCATACAGGTATACGTCATACCAGGGAGTGGTTATTATAGGTTTGGTTTGTGGCCACATGTAACTGACCTGAAATTGCTCACCCTGTCTGTGTAAGTGCCAAAAGGTCAGGGAGAACTGATGATACTGTTTTATACTTTTTCTTGTGGACCAGTGGAGTATTTAGCTGGTAAACATACTGATATTTCCCTCAGGAGTTCAAAAAAAGACAATCGATGTTGACCTACATTTGGTAGTTGACCAGAAACATAATAAATGCTGCACTGTGACTTTTGGATGTGTAAATACACAACTGTTTTGCCTGTTCGACATATCAACCTAAAAGGTATGTTGCTGTTACGTTTACAAGGTGTTCATAGCCAAAAAGCAGTTAACGGAGATGAATCATTCACCTTTGCATATGAGGGAGAAAAAAACACTTGTTAATAAACACTGGAGCAGAACACATTGACATTAATGTGGAAGAAACTTCTGTGTAGTAATGCATGGAGTCACCGACTCAGGAAGGAGACACGGTGAGAGTTGGAGCTTTGATGTCAAACACTGATGGGTTTATTCAGAGTATTCGGCCGGAGGATTCACATCACAAATCAAAGAGTCAGAGGTTCTGACCACACGGTAGAGTTGCCACGTCAATTCTGCAGAACCTCTCTCTATGCTAGACCTTTTAACAGGTTCACAGAGAGAAATCAACATCTCTGAAGGAGTAGACTAAACACTGAATCATCTATGTCCGACGCTCATGGCCTCAAGGATTTCACATCCTAGAGCCCACAAACACCGATAAAGAAGTGCTTCAGTGTTCTCACAACAATTACCCTACGTGCCAGTCAAGTTGACCGGTCACACACTGGTTACAACAACACATATGGCATCAAGGCCTTTCCTTAAAGGAGATAACACGTGTCAGAGTAAAAGGTTAGATATCTAGAAGAATTATTCCTTAACAGTTCCTCTCTTTTTATCATTTTTGATAACCTTAAAACATTAGTCTAATAATTCTGGTCAATACTTAAATCAATAGGCGTCTTCAGATTTGAGTGTGGTCTCACCTTACATTCAATTACATCACAAAGTAGAGTAAGATTGAAACATTCAATCACAATGATTGATACAGGCAATCATAATAGGAAAAATTATCTCTCATCAGTGTTTGGAGCATCTTTTGTCAAAAGCATAATAATGAACACACATAAAACACAGATACATAATAGCAAAATATTTGTTTTAAACTAATATCTTTTATCATTTTAAACCATTAGTTAATGTCATTTATCAAACTATAAAATCAAAACCAGCTTGCAGCTTAAAGATTTGCTTTAAGGCAATCACTAGTCAAAAGCATTTAAAACTTAGGATCATAAGAGATCCAGCTAAGGCATAAAAGTCACAGTGGTGATTTGATCAATCTGTAATCCACAAAGTTGCAGTGTCCTCAATTTTAGGATTACTTTACGTTTACTTCATTACGCTTTAGTCAAGAGTAAGGCACTTAGTCTTAGAAAAATCAATACATTCATTTTAATCAAATACATTGTTCAAAATCTGAAAAGGAAAAATCAGATATTTGTCGTGTAGTGTAACAACCTGAAAGGGAAAACCCACGGGTCTGGAAGCTCGGCGTCGTACATCATCACGGTGTCATCAACGGTGGTGTACCCCACTAGTCTCTGTGGGGCCTGGAGGGCGACTTTGGTAATCTTTCGCAGGACTAGTTTAACTACAGTGACTAGGCATATTATCAGGATTAGCACACCTATGATAAACACTGAAATGGTAACAATGAATTTTACAATCCCCCCTCCCCATGACCCAAATGTTCCAGTTAAATCCCCAAATGCAAACCCATGAGTTTCGTGCAATTCTTTTATTCCCCTAGCAGTATCATGAGCCATATCCATGACCTCAGGTGTGGCATCAGAGATGAAAGAACAACACTCAGACCCAATCACCTTGCATGTACCCCCCTGTGCTGCTAGTAGAAGATCCAGTGCCATGCGATTCTGTAATGCCACTGTTCTAACTTCCTGCAGTTCTTTGTGTTCAGCTAACATGGCTGTGTTGGACACATTAAGGTGCTTCTCCACAACCTTGGAGAGAGCTATAATTTCCTGCTGGGAAACATAAATACCGTACCAGGGCAGCAATGCGCTAGCCAGCTGCTGACCTGTTGTGATGGCTCTACGAGTTCTGTGTAGGGCAGGGAATATTGCTGCAATCTCTTCAGTCTCTACTTTACGGATCAAAGGGATTAGATAGGCTAGATAACAGGTGCCATCAAAAGTATCATAAGGCATGCAACCGTAGGCTTTGTTCCCACAAACCAAGTAAACCCTCTCTGGAAGGGGAGTTCTGGTTAACTTGATCTTTACTACGGTGTTACAGTCGCTGTGGCCCACATCGTCAGAGGGTGAAAACCCTCCTCCGTTCTGGAAGCAGATGGACACATTCTTCCACTCATGCACCACAACTGGGGGAACATAAACGGAACAGTCACGTGTAGGGGATTTACCTAAGGGTAATGGCAGTGAACAGTCATGTATTTTAACTTTCACTGAGTCCACTGTACGGACGCCAAACCAGGGTACAACTGCTACCAAGGCTTCAACCAACAAAGATGGTGTGTGCGGTTGAGGTGAACATGTTGGACTTGTGGAAGTGGCTGAGCAATTAGTCTGGACTAGAGCTAATTGGAATCTGTATTCAAAAGCTAGTTCAACGTATTTCTTCACATATATAAGTTTTAGAACCCTCAACCGTTTGAAACCGTCTGGCAGGTAGTCTTTATTTACTGTGTCAACAATGAGCGAGATTAAGCCATTGTACTTTAAAGGTTGCTCAAAGTCTATGGGGTAGGAAGGGGTGTAACAATCATCTGCATCCTTGCTAATTCGGGATGCTATATCACTCCAGGTGACTAAACTGTAGTCAGCTTTTGTGAAAGGAATTGGGCTGAACATGGGAGAGTACATGGATTCTGGCATGTTCTGGCACAGCCAACAGTTGCTAACATTGCGTTCATGTGCATAGTCTAACATTAAACTCATTGTAGAATTGGTTTGAGTTTGTTTAGGTGGAGTAATTAAGGCATTTTTTGAAGAGTCTACATCACTCTCTGGTGACTTAATTACATCTGAACCTGGTTCACTAAATGAACATCTAGTGACCCCTGAACTGGGATCTTTGTAATTTGGTGTCCATGTGGTACACATGGGATCATCCTTTAATTGTTCCTTAGTGAAACACCACATTTCTGGGGGCACATTTGCAACAGTGTTGAGTGTTATTCTTACCATCCGCTGTGAGACCTGGAACCGCTGGTACCCCGTCTCTGGATAGACGTTCCACGCCCACAAGCCTTTGCTTAAAAACACAGGAAACACAACAACACAGTCATTTGAGTTACATTTTGTAGTCGGACATTCAAAGGAAATATTCTGTGACCCTCTCTTGGGGATGAAAAGGGAGTTGGCACTGAAAAGAGCAGGAAGAGAGAGAAGCCTTATCTCGGGGCCCACTTTCCTCCTTCTTCTCACTCTTTTTCTCTCTCGCACCCTACTGAATGTTTGTGTGGTGCTCGAAAACAACCTGTCTGTGCCCTTAGATAAGAGCACCTTATACTCTCCCTCTGAGTGGCGAGAGCCCTCGCCACCTGTCGTTGGGATTGCCTCAGCGTCGTCCAGCAGGGCTTCCTTGGCCAGGTATAGCAGTACAAGGAGTATGAGGACCGCCTTCACACGCCTACACCCTGACCCTCCCCACTGACCGGTGGAGGAGACAGACGGCATCGTGAAGCGTGGATCCACTCTGTCCTACCTTGGACTTTTAAGGCTGTTCTGGTCACTATTAACACCTGGAAAGGACCTTTCCACCTGGGAGACAAAACATCTTTTTCAAGAGACTTGATTAGCACATTATCTCCGATCTGAAAAGGGTGTGTGGGCTCCTCTCCAGGCTGAGGGAGCCTGTCAGCCACCTGCCTGTGAAACCTTCTCAACATGTTGGTTAGATATTTCACATAGTTAGTCATGTAATCATCTGTCCACAAAAAGTTTATGGGGTGTTACTGGGGGACTGGACCCTGTGTGCATTGGCCTCCCCATTAATACTTCGTGGGGGCTAAGCCCTGTCGTAGCATTTGGTGTGCTTCTGATGGAGCACAGGACTAGTGGTAGTGCATCTACCCATTTCAATCCTGTGGTCAACATTGTCTTGGTGAGTTTCTCCTTTATGGTCAAGTTCATTCTCTCAACCTGTCCTGAGCTTTGTGGGTGATAGGGAACGTGCAACTGCCATCTGAACCCTAACACTATAGCTAGACTCTGGGTTATCTTAGAAATGAATGCTGGACCTCTGTCACTGTTAATTCCTGTGGGCACACCAAATCTAGGAATAACATCTTTGAGAAGACACTTTACAACTGTTCTAGCGTCTTCTTTTCTGGTTGGGTAGGCTTCTACCCATTTAGAGAACTGGCACACTATTACCAAGAGATACTTGCAACCTTGGCATGGTGGCATGTGTGAGAAGTCGATTTGCATATTTACAAAGGGCCCCGACGGGGGTACCAAGTGTTCGTGTTGGACTGGGCCACTTTTCTTTCTGGTCTGCTGGCATATCATGCATCTATCTACTAGAGCCTGTGTCGCTAGTGTGATGCCTGGGGCAAACCATTGTGATCTTATAATCCCATTCATCCCTCCTTTTCCTACATGTGTAGAGCCATGTGCAACATGTGCCATAACATGTAGGAACGAACGGGGGCAGACCATTCGGCCATCTTGGTGGAGCCACAAGCGGGACTCAGCGTCAAGTGTACAACTTCTGCGCAGCCATAAGTCTTTCTCCCTATCATCAGCGCGGGCTTGCATGTCCGCGACATCATTAAAGGAAGGTAAAGAAATGGGTTCAGCGGGTTGTGTGGAGGAACATTGGAGCACCATGGAGGAGGAGGAAATGGCCGCTTGTTTAGCCGCTGTGTCGGCTAATGCATTTCCGCGTGAAATAGGATCATCAGAATTTTTGTGAGCAGCACATTTAACTACTGCTAGCTGTGCAGGGAGCAGGATAGCTTCTAACAGTTCAGCCACTAACGCATGATGTTGAATAGGCTTACCAGTTGATGTTAAGAAACCGCGCATTTTCCACAAGACGCCAAAATCGTGGCATACACCGAAAGCATACCTGGAGTCTGTGAAAATGGTCGCAACTTTATCTTTAGCCAGAATGCATGCTCTGAGTAGAGCATATAACTCTGCCGCCTGAGCCGACGTGCCATTGGGCAACGCTCGGCTTTCTAAGACTTCCCAGTCGTTCACAACAGCATAGCCAGCTAAATGTAATGTGTCAGACGGTCTACAGGCAGACCCGTCTGCGTACAGAATCATATCTGAATTTGGTATTGGTGTTTGCAACATATCAGTTCTGGGGGAAGAAGACAGATCAATGGTTGTGATACAGTCATGTGTTAGGTCAAAGTCTGGTATTGGGACCAGTGTGGCTGGATTCAGAGGAGGGGAGCGCTTAATAGTGATGTGCGGGCTTGATAGAATGACCGCCTCATAACCAGAACGCCTTGCTGCTGTCATATGCTGAGTAGCAGAGGTGTTCAGAATGTGCAAAACTGCATGTGGGACATGAACCACACAGTCACTGGCCAGTACAATGGGAGAGGATTGTTTGATAACTATTGCAACTGCGGCCACAGCTCGCAGGCATGAAGGCATACCAAGTACCACAGGGGAAAGTCGAGACGAATAGTACGCCACAGGCCGGAAGTTAGAGCCATGCTTTTGTACCAAAATGCCTGTTGCAAAGCCCCCCTTTTCATGGACGTGAAGATGAAATGGTTGATGGTAATCAGGGAGACCCAGGGCTGGAGCCGATGTGAGGGCCTGCTTTAAATCCTGAAAGGCTGTGTGCATGTCCTCAGACCATTGAACAATGTTGGGGGCGGCCTGCAGAGTGGCAGCACGCAGGACGGAGTCCATAGCAGCGTACTCGTATATCCAATGTCTGCAGTAGTTTGCCATGCCCAAGAAGGAAAGCATTTCCTTCTTTGTGTGTGGTGGTGGCACTTTGTTCAAAAGGCAGACTCTCGCAGGTGAGAGGAGGCGGTGTCCATCTCTCAGAATGTGACCCAAATACGTGACCTCTGTCTGGCAGTATTGTAACTTGGCCAGGGATGCTCTGTGTCCGCATTCAGAAAGTCTTTTCATGAGCAGAATGGAGTCAATGCGACAGGCGTCTTTGTTAGGGGATGCAATCAAGAGGTCATCAGCATACTGAAGGAGGGTGCTACCCCCTGTAAGGACCAAGGGGTCCAGGTCTCTTTTAACAGCTGCAGCGTACACAGTAGGTGATTCGACAAAGCCCTGTGGGAGGCGCGTGTATGTGATTTGTTTACCTCTGAATGTACATGCAAACAGATACTGGCTTTCTGGATGCAAGGGAATAGAGAAAAATGCTGAACAAAGATCAATGACTGTGTAATGTGTCGAGTCTGGAGGCAAAGAAGCAAGGATCGAATTGGTGTCAGGCACAATGGGTGCTGTTGGAATGACAATGGCATTAATAGCTTGCAAATCTTGGACAAAGCGCCACTCATCAGGGCGATTGTGCTTCGGGATTGGCAAAATGGGTGTATTGCAGGGGCTTGAGGTGTAAACCAAGACCCCTTGATTGAGCAATGACTGTATTACCCCCTCAATGCCCAAAATGGCTTTCTGGGGTAAATTGTACTGTCTGATCGCTGGCAATCTGGCATTGGCCTTAAGTGTCACTCTGTGAGGGGGAGCAGAACTTACAAACCCCACATGATTCTTGTGCTTGGCCCATAATGTGGCTGGAACCTCGGAAAAGTCTGAAGGAGGGCCATACTTTGTTGGAGGAGGTGGTTGTAAATGAAGAAATGTGCTCTGGGGAAGAGAAATGGGCTCAGGGAGACGCAGCATGTAATGTTCCTCCCCAAGGTTGATCAGATTGGGTGTGTGTGTGTGAGGGAAAGAAGCTGTTACAGCTTCCAACCGAGCATGGCAGTGGGCTGCCATAGCCCCCACCTCCTCAGGACTACTGCCTGGAGTGACAGCTACGGTGACGTGAGGGACAGTTTCAACAACATGAAGGCCCTGCTGTGGGGGTGTGAGCCTAACAGGCAACGCACACCCCTGAGGTCCTAAAAATAGAAACTGCTCGCATTCCAACTGATCTGAGCTGTTGCAAAAACTCCTAGCTGATAGTGCATACTCATTTGAGGGGTTAAATGCAGCTGTGCAGTGACAATGTAACACTGGCCTCATAGATGACATCATAGAGGCACATACTGGGGAAATGCTAGCAATGTTTTGAATCCCCTTTGTGGAAAAAATGGAAATCATTTGGAAATCTGGAAATGACCAACAATAAAGATTGTTTTGGGATGAGTGTATGAATTGAACAGCCTGATATACCCTGTTGTTTGGAATTGTCAAATACAATCCGTCTGGTGTGCAATGTATGGTTGCTTGTAGCTTACACAGTAGGTCTCTGCCCATTAGGTTAATTGGGCTGCCATCTGAAATAATGAAAGTGTGTTGCACATGTGATCCTTCAACTGAAATGTTAGTTCTCTCTGACATAGGCTCTGCCATTGGAACGCCGGAAACGCCTACAGTGGTAATGAAAGAGTTTGTTGCTTTACACACTTGCTCCTTTGTTCTTACTGCTGATAGTGTGGCACCACTGTCAACCAAAATGTCAACAGTTGTGCCATTTACCTCAACTGGCATCATTGGATCCTCACGGGGGTTAGTGGACAACGCCAATTTGTGGAGGAAACTTCTGTGTAGTAATGCATGGAGTCACCGACTCAGGAAGGAGACACGGTGAGAGTTGGAGCTTTGATGTCAAACACTGATGGGTTTATTCAGAGTATTCGGCCGGAGGATTCACATCACAAATCAAAGAGTCAGAGGTTCTGACCACACGGTAGAGTTGCCACGTCAATTCTGCAGAACCTCTCTCTATGCTAGAACTTTTAACAGGTTCACAGAGAGAAATCAACATCTCTGAAGGAGTAGACTAAACACTGAATCATCTATGTCCGACGCTCATGGCCTCAAGGATTTCACATCCTAGAGCCCACACACCGATAAAGAAGTGCCTCAGTGTTCCCACAACAATTACCCTACGTGCCAGTCAAGTTGACCGGTCACACACTGATTACAACAACACATATGGCATCAAGGCCTTTCCTTAAAGGAGATAACACGTGTCAGAGTAAAAGGTTAGATATCTAGAAGAATTATTCCTTAACAATTAACAGATTTACCATATACATATATTTGAGCAAATTGTCAGTTTTTGGATGTTAGTGTGTCTCTTTATTAATGACTTTTACCATACAGTAAGTATAATAGGTGTTTGTAATGAATGGGTTTAGCAGGGAGTTTTCATTAACCTCTCTGTGTCATTAGTGCTGTCAACTGACATGGTTGTGGTCACATCCTCAGGTTGTGATTATGGGTGACACAGATGCACCCATGCTAACAGCACAGTGATTACATGTTGTCACTGACCAACATGAGATCTCTCCATCATCAGTGAGAGGACTGGCTTTAGTTGTGAAGACGTGGTTACTCACCTGAGTCACACACACCCCACAGAGGAGTAAACACTTACCAGCAGTCAGGGCAGTCTCCTTATCAATACTAATAATATAATGTTAGCATCACTCCTACACAATCTGAGGTTATAGTAAGGGTAGGTGAGTCACTAATTTTATCATGAAGGAAACTACTAATGTGCATACAATCTTGTTTCAAGCTTAATAAGAATTATTGCACAAACCAGCTCAGCGATGTTGTGAGAGGATGGAGGGTAGGCAGGTGATTGGTTGGAAAACATCACTCCTTTGTCTGTCCAATGGGGGAGGGGTGACTTTAAAACAGACCTACCTGAGGGATTTTAATTTTGTATACAGACCTTTAAGGTGAAAGGAGGACATGAGGGAATACAGCTGGAACAGTTTCAAGAATTTAATATTCAGAAATCCTGCTGTTGTCAACCAGGTAAGGTCAGACTCTTACATTTACCACAAAATAGGTCTTGGGTACAGGTTACTTTCCTGTATTTCGTAAATCTAAAGATTTATTTTTTAGATTTTTTGTTTCATTTGGTATTTGAATTTAAAAAAATACATACCGGTTTTTACATGTAGATTTTGTATGAACTGTTGCAACAGAAGGTTAAACAAGATATCAGTAAATATATAATGGGTTTATTTAATTGACTACTAAAGTGGAATTGTCTTAAACTGATCATTTAACCAATTTCTGCATGAAAGACTTAATTGAAATAAATAATTGATTGAAAAAATAATGTATTTCATTGTTTATACATTAATAAATTATTTACTACATAAGTAAATCTGATCAAAGTGAAATCTGCTGCAGTGATGAACTATGCCTCTGTGTCCTATTTTTTGTTGTTAAATATAATCATGAAGCGTTGCAGAACTGTGTATTTCATCACCCTTAAATGAACATTCACTGACTGCAGTTGTATTTTATATATGTTACTTCTTACAAATTCTACCACTGGAAACATTTCAATGATCAGGATCCACATGTGGATAATGGGGATGAAAATACTGAGCGTGGGAACTGGGCCAGCAAGAGGGAGTACATGCTCTCTACGATCGGCTATGCTGTTGGACTCGGAAATATCTGGAGATTTCCGTATTTGGTCTACAAGAATGGAGGGGGTAAGTACTTGCTGTGTGATGACTTACTAGTGCTGGAAATGCTGTCAATCACTACTATTGATATTGTTTCCAATCCCTCACTTTGGGCAGGTGCCTTTCTTATCCCCTACTTTGTGATGTTGGTGGTGACTGGGATCCCTCTGTTCTTCCTGGAAAGTGCCTTGGGGCAGTTTTGCAGCCAAGGTCCAATCAACATATGGAGATCAGTACCTATCCTGCAGGGTAAGACGACCATTAGAGTTAAAGATTAATCAGGTGAATCTGAATGTAAAGATGTCAAGCATGAGAAGTTTTATGAGGCTAATGGTTAACTGTGGACAATCATTTGTCTTTTTAATGACTCTTGATCTCAGAGGAGCTTTTGTTTGGTTTTAAGCCGTAAACCCTTTAAGGTCAATTAATTCAATTTGTTCAGACCAAAAGGGTACGAGCTGCATTAAAGTCTAACAAGAAAACGTACTGGTCAAGTGCATGTATAATTGTTGAAACAGGTGAAGGCATTTGATTTCTCCTCATTAAAAACAATATAAAAAGACGCTGGCGTTCAGGAAAAGATGCTAAGTATGTGGACACAAGGCCTTACTGAGCATAAAACAAAACTGTATTTCCCCACAAAATTGGAAAAATACAAAAGCGTTCAGGAATGTATTGAAGAACCAAAGCTTTTCTACAGCTCTCAAGAAAAGATCATTTACTTTGGAATAGAGCTGATACCTTGGGGCTATCAGATCTATGGTGCTGCCTGATAATGAGTGAGCATGAAAAGTCGTGATCTTTGTTTGCTGTTGGAATTGTTCCCCCCAACTTTTGACTTGTATGCCTTCATTTATTTATGTTTAATTAATTGATAATCATGCAATGTATTTATTGTTAACTTTTCACAATTTAAAATAGTCATTGGCAATATGTCAAAATGTGAAATAATGCCATTAAGCCATTTGATATATCCTCTCTCTCTTTTGCGCTCCAGGTGTTGGCGTTGGCATGGTTATGGTGACTCTAATAGTATCAATTTACTACAACGTCATCATCGCCTATAGTCTGTACTACATGTTCGCCTCCTTCCAGTTTCCTCTGCCGTGGTCCAGCTGCCTCAGTCTGCCTGACAGTAACTGCAGCACCACGCCTCAAGGTACTTAAAAAAAATGGATGAGTCAAGGAACCGAAAAAATAATAATGACAGTATGATAGACGTAAGATTGAAATTATACCAAAAACACAAACTATATTAAAGTTTTTTTTTTTCTTGAGCAATCTACATTTCAGATCAAAGCTTAAATAATGCTTGTAAATTCTCACTTATTTGGTCTTTTACTTTTCTAGTGTACTGCAATGTAAGTGGTGTTTTAGTGACCAACTGGACTCAGGAAAACAGCACTTGTCCTTCATCTGACACAGTTCCCATGCAGAGCCCAAGTGAGCAGTACTGGGAGTAAGGATTACACATTTTTGCAACAAACACAAATTCACACATCATAAATGCTGTGGCTGAACAGTCTCTCCTCCTCAGCCGTGTGGCCCTGCAGAGATCCAGCGGCCTGGATGAAACAGGACCAGTAGTTTGGCATTTGGCTCTCTGTCTGCTGCTGAGCTCCTTGATTGTTGCTGCAGCGCTCATCAGAGGCATCAAGTCATCTGGCAAAGTAAGACAACATCCACCTAATACCAATACCTTATCCACAGACCAACATCAGGGCCAGTGCATATATCAAACTGTCTAATGTCCTTTCAGGGTTTTACTGCAATGCAAGCAAACGTTGTTGTTAATTAGTGAATTTAAAGGTGTTAAAGGTGGGGTAGGTAAGTTTGAGAAACCGGCTCGAGATACACTTGTTATATTCCATGGAATGCTCTTAACATCCCGATAGCAATGAATATCTTAAGTGCTTTGACAAAAAATCCATAAAAAAATGTCATCTGTGGAAGCCGTAGTACTGTAAAAAGCACGACCAATCATTTTAGCTGGCCCGGCTAAAATAACTGGATGGCCTACCTGCCTGTCAGCCTTCCATCTGTGCACAAACTTATCTCATGCCCTCATTGGTCATGTGCACGTTCGTGTGTGTTGGAGGAGGGGCTCTATAAGGTAGTGGCAGATTTTCTCCGGCTGTGTATTTTCAAATTCTAGCGATCTCGAGCTGGTGTCTCCAAAATTACCTACCCCACCTTTAATAGCTGGATTTCTCGAATTTAGGAAAGAGCCAGACTAGCTATATCCCTATTTTCCCGTCTTTAAATGCTAAGCTAAGCTAAGCAGCTGCTGGCTAAAGCTACACATTTCAAACGCAGATGGTTTCACTCTTCTCTTCTTAACTCTACATAAAAAGCTAAATATATATTATTATCCAAAATGCCAAACTATTCATAAAAAAATGTACATATTTGCATGCACCCTTTAGATCACATGTGTCAAACTCAAGGCCCGGGGGCCAAATCAGGCCCTTGGTGGATTTAATTTCGGCCCGCTGGATCATTTCTAATTACTATTAGATCTGGCCCGCCGGTATATTGCACGCACACCTTCACTCAATCCTGATGATTTCCTCAGCTCAGAGCTAGCATCACAGAGCAGCAAACTGAGTTTCAATGGATGTTTCCTTCTGCACTTTATTTCTTGCGACAGCAGGGCATGTTTGGTTTTTTCTTTGAGGGAAATAGTTTTTTTGAAGCTGTTGTTGGCCTGTGGAAAAATGTAATCATAAGAAATGACTCCGGAAAAGCTGCAGATAGAGCCATAAGAAATGAATGCAACTGATTATTTAATGTTTAATGTTGTTTTTATAGGCAATAATTGAAGCTTTGTTAGTTCCAGGTTTAATATGTGCAATAAGTTAATTTCAATAAGTCTTGCAATAAACATTGAACCAGTCCGGCCCTCGACTAGTACCCATTTTCTTATTTTGGCCCACTGTGTATTTGAGTTTGACACCCCTGCTTTTGATAAACTTATTTTGAGATTCCAAGTGTGAGTGCATGCTAGCGACAGAGACGAAAAGGTTATGCTAATTGCAACATGACAAACACAATAGGTGTTAACAAGTTATGCCTGAAACCCCTAGTGGCATTGCAAGAACATTTTACGTAATAAATGACTTATTCACAATGTGTACTGTATGCTTCTCTCCAGGTGGTTTATTTCACAGCCACGTTTCCTTACGTGGTGATTCTGATCCTGCTGATCAGAGGTTTGACACTAGAGGGGGCCAGAGATGGGATAGAGTTCTACATTGGTTCCCAATCCAATTTGACTAAATTGACAGAAGCACAGGTAAGAACCCAACTTTGACCATTTTCACTGCTTTTAACTACAGATATCTAAATCTTTTGATTAAAGTATGTCTTTGTGTTTTTTTAGGTCTGGAAAGATGCAGCAACTCAGACCTTCTACTCTCTCTCGATTGGCTGGGGTGGAGTCATGACTCTTGCCTCCTATAACAACTTCCACAACAATATGTTCAAAGATGCATTTGTTGTGACACTTACTAATGCTGGTGGGGGCTCTGCTATAGTAGTGTTTATCTAGAAAAAGGTTAGAAAATATTGTATTTATTGATCTATTTAGCTATTTTCATCTTTTCCTAGGTACCAGTGTGCTTGCAGGCTTTGCCATATTTTCAATCTTGGGTCACATGGCTCACTTCCAACAAGTGCCTATTGAAAAAGTGGTCAAGGCAGGTCAGACAAGCACAATGCTTCAACAACAATTAATACAAAAATAATGGAAAACATTTAAGTGGCCCCTGATGTTTTGTTTCTTTGTGTCTGTGCAGAATTTGGACTGGCATTTATTGCATATCCAGATGCTTTGTCGAAGCTTCCCATTTCCCCTCTGTGGTCAATTTTGTTCTTCTTCATGCTTTTGACTGTTGGTCTGGACTCTCAGTTTGCAGGAATAGGTGAGTTATTTAGTTGTCATTTAAACTTGCTTAACATTAGACGACTGCTGACTCACTGATGTATTCTCAACAACATGTTCTTTATTTTAGAGGTGATCACAACCTGCCTGCTTGATGCCTTTCCTCAAATCTTCAAATCCAAACGAGCATTATTGACCATAGCGATATCTTCTGTTCTCTACCTGCTGGGCCTGCCATGTGTCACAAGGGTAAGTCTGAGTGTCATTTTATTTTACAACTGTCTGACGACGTCTAGATGACCCACTCACCTGTGTGTGTGTGTGTGTGTGTGTGTGTGTGTGTGTGTGTGTGTGTGTGTGTGTGTGTGTGTGTGTGTGTGTGTGTGTGTGTGTGTGTGTGTGTGTGTGTGTGTGTGTGTGTGTGTGTGTGTGTGTGTGTGTGTGTGTGTGTCTGAGATAGGCAGGAATATACTGGGTGACCCTAATCGATGGGTTTGTTGCTGGCTGGGTGCTGCTAGTTTTGGCTCTCTTGGAGATCATTGGTGTCTGCTACATCTATGGTAAATGTGACAATTGGAGGTATGTGCACATAAAGGTGACAGAGATTCCAGCTGTGTACATGTTTGTCTTCTTCTCATTCTTTACAGGGGGAAATCGTTTCATTAAAGACATTGAAATGATGATTGGAAAGAAGAGTTTCCTTTTCTGGCTGTGGTGGAGAGCATGTTGGTTCTTCATTACCCCCTGCCTTATAGTGGTGAGTACAACATGCAGCTGATGCAAAATATTTGATTAACCATATTTCTGGAAGCATCTGCTTGACTCAGGCCTTAAAAGCTATATCGAGAAATGGGAAAAGGTCTCACATTACTCTCTGTTTGTTTGTAAATAATTAAATAAATAAAACTTCCTCATGTCTGAATAGAAAAAACTTTGATTTGACCTTCTCACAAACAAACAGTAAATCAATTACATTCTGATCTGGTGTAATGTTTGAAACCAGCTGCCTTTGTTGTCTATAGGTGATCCTGATCTGGTCCTTGGTGTCACTCGAGTCACCCTCCTATAGTGGAGTCCAGTTCCCAGAGTGGGGTTTGGCTGTGGGCTGGTGCATGACTGTATTTATCCTCCTCTTGGTTCCTATCGTCGCTGTGTATAAACTGATGAAAGCAGAGGGAAGCCCTTGGAAGGTGTGTATGTGTGCTAACCGGAAAAGAATGCAGAGAAATCGGACAAAGATACCAATGATGCCTTCTGCAAAATGTCCAAAGCATGGCATTTTGCACAGCATGAGATGTTTTTTACATGAAAGGTTGAAATTATGCTAACGTGTTTCCACAGCGTCTGAAGTCATTGTGCTCTCCAGCTGAAGAGTGGCATCCCTACCTGGACATCCATCGAGGAGAGCGCTACTCCGAGCAACGCATCCGCCTCAGGATGAGCCATAAAACCGAACCAGAAGCAAATGTGAATGTAATCTCGAGCTCATGGCTCTGATGTGTGGTTTGTGTGTCAGTGTCTTTCTTTTTGTGCATACGTGTAATCTGTGAACACTTTATTATGTAAGTTAGAGTTAATTATGATAATTTATGAACTCAAGGAGGCAGAGAGTGACAAATGATTCACAGATTTGATTTCTGGAGCAGGTAGCATGCATCACGCTTACTGTATGTGAGGTCATGTGTTCACTGTAAATGGAGCAGAGCCATTAGAAAGTGACGAGAAGGAGCAATGACCAAAGGCACCAAGTGTAAAACAGCTGAAAGCTAACTAAAAAAAGCTTTAAAAAAGAAAAAAACATGCTTTCATGTTAAAAGAAATAATATGATTCAATGTATAAAACCATATTATTGCTCAATGGGGCATTCAATCAAGATGTTTAATGTTTTGTTCGTAAAGACTGTCGTGCCTCTCTTGCCATGTCAGGTAACTAAAAAAAAATGTTCACCTCCAATATTCTTAAATAAAAAAGTTTTTCTTCATCTATGAGGTCAAGCTGCTTTAACGTCTATGTATGTTTATGTCTACAATAACAAATAGCTTAGTAGGCTACAGAAAATCAAGATTTAACAATGCTGGGCTAAAATGCTACCGTTACATAATTAAAATGTAGGTTACTCCAATTTTCTTAGAGTTTACCGATATTACAAAGAATAATGTGCATTTATTACGTACAAATAAGTGCAAACACAAAGTTTATGACATAAGGCGCGAACAAACAACCACAATCTAAATCATACTTACCTCATAAAAAATCTGTGGATTTACTAACCATAACCTTTAAAGAACTACTGCTACCATGCAAACCATAGACTCTACTCTACAAAAACCTGGCCTGGACCCCCGACGACCTCCAGAACCACCGACCGATCTCCAACCACCCTTCCTAAGCAAAACTCTGGAAAGAGTGGTCGTCGGCCAACTCCATCTGTACATGTCCAACCATGAGCTCTATGAGCCCTTCCAATCCGGCTTCAGACAGCAACACAGCACTGAGACCGCCCTCATCAAGATCACCAACGATCTCCTCATTGCTGCTGACTCTGGCCGCCTCAGCATCCTCATCCTCCTGGACCTCTCTGCAGCGTTTGACACCATCTCTCACAACATCCTCCTCACCCGCCTCTCAGACCTCCTAGGTGTCACTGGCACAGCGCTGTCCTGGTTCACATCCTACCTCCATAACAGGAAACAGTTTGTCTCCATCAGTGGCTCAAACTCACCCCCGACCCCAGTCCACCACGGTGTACCCCAGGGCTCTGTGCTTGGCCCCCTCCTGTTCACCATTTACATGCTCCCCCTCGGCCAGATCATCCGACATCATGGGCTCAATTTCCACTGTTACGCTGATGATACCCAACTGTATCTCAGCACCACTCCATCCTCCCAGCTCCCCCCTCAGTCTCTCATCAACTGCCTGCATGACATCAAAACATGGATGTCTTCCAACTACCTTAAGCTAAACAGCAATAAAACAGAGCTCATGGTTGTGGCACCCAAGGCCCTGCTCCAGAAGGTTGGTGACTTCATCCTTGAGGTCGACGGCTGCTCCATCTCCCCATCTCCTGAAGCCCGCAACCTGGGTGTCATCCTCGACTCCACCCTTTCCTTCCATTCCCACGTCAAATCTGTGACCAAATCGGCCTTTTTCCACCTAAGGAACATTGCCAGACTCCGACCGTCACTCTCGGAGTCGGTTGCAGAAACCCTAGTGCATGCGTTTGTCACCTCCCGCTTGGACTACTGCAATGGTGTCCTGTTCGGGGTTCCCAACAAAACCCTGGACAGGCTCCAGTATGTCCAAAACTGTGCTGCTAGGGTACTCACACACACAAAGCCGTGGCAGCACATCACTCCCACCCTCATCCACCTCCACTGGTTGCCGGTCAAGTCCGGCATAGCATACAAAATCCTCCTCCTTACCTACAAGTCCCTCCATGCCCTTGCCCCCGAGTACCTATCGGACATCCTTCAGCCACATGCCCCACCCCGGAACCTGCAGTCCTCAGACTCTGGCCTGCTTACCACCCCCCGCATCAAACTGCGAACCTTCGGGGACAGAGCCTTCAGTGTGGCAGCCCCCACCCTCTGGAACGCTCTCCCTGCGGAGATTCGCAACATCCCCACACTTGACGCCTTCAAAAGGGCCCTCAAGTCCCATCTGTTTGCCAAGGCTTTCGGCCCCTAATCGATCTGTTGTTTTGTCTGTCTGACTTTTGTTTTGTTATGTTTGTTTTTGCCCTATTACTTGTAAAGCGACCTTGGGTCCCTTGAAAGGCGCTATATAAATCCAAGCTATTATTATTATTATTACATATATTGTAAATGTGAAAAAATGCATACATCCTGCTTATACATCCAGCCGGCTGAAGCCTGAGGCACACAGCACGAGACAGAGCTTCAGAAGCAGCATATGTTGAGCTACAGACTCTAATTCGCAATAAGGATGCAACTTGTCAGACAAGTTGTTGTTAAACCAGCACTTTAGTTGTAAGTAACATTAGCTACGTGCCGTGCACATTAACTCCTGCCACAGTTTCTACCAGCCTCTCATTCTGACAGAATTCAAAACATAGTTAGTGCTTTGATAGTGCTACCTTCTTATGAGCTTTCTGATCAGTAAATGTATTTGTTGTGTATGAAATCATTGCCTTTTCTACAGGAGTTGATGGACAATATTTATTGTAGCAGTAGCCTGCATGTGAGACATTTAAGGACCATCGGTGTTAGTAGTTTAAGGGACTGATTATTTAGGGAAGGTTTAGCCTCCAATTGAATGGAGACACGGCTTGGGGTGTTATGGAAGTGCTTACTCTGGACAGCGAGAGTAGACTGGAATTTGGCCTTCTACTATAGGCCAATGCATTAACAAATGGAGCATAAACATTATTATTTTCTGCTCAGGAGCAGTTTCAATTAATCTGTAAAACCAGATGATCCCTTGATATCTAATGTGTGTGTGAGAGGGAAACTGAAAGAGAGAGAGAGAGAGAGAGAAAGAGAGAGAGAGAGAGAGAGAGAGAGAGAGAGAGAGAGAGAGAGAGAGAGAGAGAGAGAGAGAGAGAGAGAGAGAGAGAGAGATACATCCAGTATTTAATAAAACAGCTAATATTAACAACTTCACTTCTCAGCATGTGTCAACAGTAAAATAGTATTTGATTAAGCCTAGGGTTCTTAATGAAGCAATTAGAACACCGTGGGGTGTAGAGATCATACATGGAGCTCAGTCTGGTGACGAAATGACTACGCCTATGTGTGTGTGTGTGTGTGTGTGTGTGTGTGTGTGTGTGTGTGTGTGTGTGTGTGTGTGTGTGCGTGCGTGCGTGCGTGCGTGCGTGCGTGCGTGCGTGCGTGCGTGCGTGCGTGCGTGCGTGCGTGCGTGCGTGCGTACGTGTGTGTGTGTGTGTGTGTGTGTGTGTGTGTGTGTGTGTGTGTGTGTGTGTGTGTGTGTGTGTTTGGATAGGCAGGAATATACTGGGTGACTCTGATTGACCAGTTTGCTTCCGGTTGGGTTCTGATCATTTCGACTTTAACAGAAATCATTGGCTTCTGTTACATTTATGGTAAATATAAATATGTCATGAACGTCATACAATTGTTGTAGTATAGCTACTGTAGTATAATATGTCTAATGGTAGAAATAAGGTTAGGGATCTTCAATAAAGAGCATAAATGTCTGAACAGCACTTATTGTCCATCCAGTAGTTGTTGAGTTATTTCATTCTGGATATTTTCCTGTCATGCTTTACAGACGGGAACACTTTTTTTGCTTCTGGCTTTGGTGGAGAGCATGTTGGTTCTTCATCAGTCCATGCATCATTTTATTTTTTACATGTTATACTGCAGTAATTCCACCTTTCTGATTTAATAGTTGCTATTTCTGTCAGTTGACATTAAATCTGAAATGTGGGCATTTACTCATCGATTTCGGGCTATAGGCTCAGGATGCCTTTAATGAAAAGGATTGGATGTTGTATTTACCAATACCTTTATGTTTAGGTAATCTTGGTCTGGTCTTTCATAGCCTATGTGCCCCCATCATATGGAAATGTCCAGTTTCCAGACTGGGGTTTGGATCCTGGATGGTGCATGAATGCGTTCATCCTTCTCTGGGTCCCTGCTGTCGCTGTGTATAAGCTGCTGAGAGCACAAGGAAACCCCTGCAAGGTGTGCATGTTGTCTATACAGGAAGCATTTAAAGCAGGGATTTTAATGAGATGTACTTTTTTTCTTCTTTTCTCCTTATTGTGCCATTCTTCCCACAGCGTCTGAAGTCTTTGTGTGCTCCCTCTGAGGAATGGCATCCTTATCTTGACATTCATAGGAGAACGCTACTCAGAAAATAATAAACAATAAGCAAATGTGAATGTGAATGTTAGACCCAGAATGTTCCTGCCTCTGTCATCACATTGGCATGGGAATTATGTAAGTTCACTAATAAATAATTGACCTTTGCCACCAAATGTTGCTGAATTGTTGTAATGAACTGAAGGAAGCTGCTGGTGCTGTCACTGTTATTTTACAGTCATGTTCGTCTTGACTTATTATACACACACTCCATGTTCTTGCTGTTCTGCTCTGTGCAATGTTGCAGTTAATAGATTGTTGCATCATGTTGGAAAAAACATTTCTGTTGCTCATGCTTGATGATCACAGTTATTCTGCATCAATACAGTCATTTTCATTCAGTGATTTTTGATCACAGATGTAATGAATTGACTGACTAAAAACGACACACACAAGATATCTAAAGTTGCTTTAAATGTGATTTTTATTTTTGGTTACATCATTGACAGGTATTACAGAGCTCTTCTTGAATTGGCCTCATGTGGGTGGTTTTATGTCACATGATAGTTGACCCAGCTACTAAAACAACCAGTTTGAAGTTCAACCATGGGTAGTTTAAGCCCAGTTGCAGCACTTGCAGCTGGTGTCGAAGACCAGGGTTGTAGCACAGTGCTGGTCGTAGGTTTTTCCCTGGCTGCACTCATAGAAGT